CTCCAGTGAGCACACATGTTTTATAGCAAAACTTAAAAAATAGAAAGAAAAGGAAAGAACAAAACCAGAGAGAATCGTTTTCTTGCACATGAGAGCATAGATTAAGTAGGAGGTTCTACCCCAGGATGGTCAAAAAAAGAAATAAGTAAGGGAATAGATCGCAGATAGTGATAGTGGAGTGGAGATAACAATAGATCCTTCAGAGTTTTTTTTTCCCCTCTTTTTTATCCTCCATAACCTTCCAGAAAGATATTCAGCCTTACTCTTTAGGACTCTCTTCTAGAAGCCTAATCATTCTCACTCAGCTTCCTTTTCCAAATTTTGAATACAGAATTTCCTAATTTGTAGGGTTTTTTGTTTTGTTTTGTTTTGTTTTGTTTTTACTAAGCTTTTCATATCATTTCAGCAGCTATTCATATGTTATTTAAAAGCCTCCAGACTCCAAGCCTGATCATCAAATTTTCCTCTTTCTGTCTTATTGTAGTCATTCCCCACATTCTGTTTTCAGCCTGAGTGGTTCAAGATATCCATGTCTTTTTACTAATTCAGCCTTAAAGTAGTAAGTCCATTTGGAGATGGAACAGATAACCAGGCTTGTAATTCTTTATCTGGGGTCCAAGTATCCTTCCTAACTATCCCCCAGTCTTCCAGTGTAGCTGATCCAAAATCCAGATGCAGTTAGCTGGCTCCAGTCTTCTTTTCCTTGTCCTTAAGTTGTGACATTCTCTGCATACCTGGAAGCTCTTAATGAGGGAGTCTATAAAAGCAGTGGAGGGAACTAGCTTCCTCAGCTATAAATCTCTACCTTTTTATGGTTGTCTTGGATCATTCTCTTCTCCAGCATCACTCCTAATCTGCCCTCCCCCCCACCCCAACTCTTAAGAACTGTTGGAGATAGAAGGCTAGAAGCTTCTATGGCTGTGAGGGCTGTAGGAACCAAGATTTGATGGGCAGGACTTCTTGATGTTGAGCTGAGTCCTGGTGCTATGTCTGTCCTATGTGAGAAGTACAGATGAAGGGACAGGAAGGAACTACATAAAGTTCCTCTTACAAGCAATGTCAGTTACTTCTGATTATTGAATTCCACCCTACCCTCTGAAATCTATACTCCCCTTCACATACTATGTCCAGACCCTAGTTTTTGTCTTTAAAGGGATGGACAATAACAGGTTTCACACCCTTGCAGACCCTTTGATGATCTCTTCTGTGTCGTCCCTGTAGTTTTCCACCTCTCATATTACTATTAGTAGATTAGAATGTGATTGTGAAGCAACTACTTAGGTTTAATTCCTTTCTACCACACTAGCTCTGAGACTCTGGTTAAATTACTTAATCGTTCTGTGACTCTTCAGACTACCAAAAGAAACTCTAGCATGAAAGTTGCTGCAAGAATTAAGTGTATTGTCCTATCAGATACTCAGTAGTTTGTATGCTATAGTTTGCATAGTAATCATTCAATAAATATTAGCTCTTAATTTTACGAGGTGACTAGGGTACAATGGAAATTTTTATTTCTTGAGTAGGTACCAACCCACCCGTAGTGGGATGAGTGAACTAGTTTGAGCATGTGTGTATGTGCACATAGCCACTTACATATATCAATCATTGTGGTTAAATGTTTGGAGACTAGAAAGAGTCCAAATTGTTCCTCAGTCCTAGTTCCTTGGCAGGAAAGCTGATGGTATTCCCAGGACCATAGACATCCTGTTTCTGCCCAACAGACCAGATGCTATAAATGGCACTGCCTCCTTGTTCTTAGCTTAGGGCCCTAACAGTAGGGAGAAAAAAGAAAAGGGCAAAATCAGATAAGAAAAAAAAGACTAAAAGGCTTGCAGGTCATTTTATAGTGCTGCTTCTGTGTGTCCTCTCAATGTAGAGAAACAAAAGAGCATTAGGAGGAGTAAACCTCCCTCCCTTTTTTTAGTGTTTGTTATAGGGCTTGTTTACTTGCCAGGGGAGAGGGGGATGGAGAGAGAAATCACCTTGCTGCAGTTCCTTCCACTCCACTGTCCGGGTTTTGGGCATGTACACACATGAACCTGGCTTTTTGTTGTTGTTGAGATTTTTGCTATAGGGCGCGTGTGCTCACCAGAGAGACAGAAAGTGAGAAATCACTCCCCGGAGGGATTGCCATGCCATAATCCCTTCTCCATTCTCCTTTCAGGATCTTGGGCACGAACCCACACGCACTTAGTGTGAGTTTAAGCCATCAGGTCCAAGACTCAAACCGGGGTCGACTACATGGGAGTCCAGCGACATAGCCATTACGCCAACTGCTGGTCCCTCCTGGCATGTTTTTTTAAAGCCACTGGGTCCTGGAGGGCCCAGGACTTGTAATACAGTTGGTCATGTGGAATCCAGCCTCCTTAACCTCTACACCATCTGCTGACCCAGAAAACCTCTTTTTAGCTCAGGCCAAAACTAGAGGTAGTCATGGTTAAGGCATTTCCTTTGGAAGGATACAGTACCTAATTCACCCTTACCTAATCCCAGCCAAGGTCTTGTAGGTCAATCTGCTGATACAACAGGACAGGGCAAGCATAGCAGCACATTAAACCCACAGTAGACCTCTCCCCACTCTGGGTCAAGTTGACATCACAGGAGCTACCCTAAGTATGCCCTGGGGATTATAGTCAGGTACACAGGAGAAATTTTTAGTAGATTAAAATATTTGAGATGCTTGGGACCAGCGGGTAGCGTGGTGGTTAAGGTGCTGGATGCTCCCACAGTTCAAATCCTGGACCTGGTGGCTTGCTTTCTCACCTTCTCTCTCTCTCTGTGTCTCTCTGGTCAAAATAAAAATGAATGAATGAATAAAGTTAAATAAATAATTAAAAAATAATAAAATGTTAAAAAAAAATTTTGAGATGCTTAACCACTCTTGTTGCACTGGGAGGTTTGATACTGGCTATGTTGGTTTAGTTTATGGGTTTGAGTGAAACTTGGTGAGGAAACTTAGGATCAGGGACTATAGAATACAGATATTAGCTGGATCATTTCAAGAGAACTTTGTTTCCATTTAGTGGAGGCTGGGAGAAGGATTTTGCCATCTTTAGGATTGTTTTGGATCATGTTGTCCAGGACTTAGGACTAAGTCCCCTCCTTTTCCTCTGACCGTACTCCCCTAGCTTTATATCCCAACGCTCATCGCATACACTTAGTGTTTTTTCTCTTGCTTCAAGTCTTTTTAGTACCTCTTTGGTTCCTGGTGTCTGAGATACAAATACAGCGTTTAATTAGGCAGAAGAGCTCAGCACTGAATTCTAAACTCTTTGACTGCTTTTATTTCTCTTTTTTCAGGTTCAAGTGCTGGATTGTGTCATGTGACCATCCCAAAACTCAGAGCACCCTATGGCCATCTTTGCCCTCTGTCACATAACTTGAAAACTGCCTGATGGCCTTTTTGCAGTGGTTCCCTCCAGGAAGCCTTGATCTCAGTGAAGAAGTCCTTTCCCGGCATTCCAGTGCCCCTGGCAGCCCCATACTCCTCAGACACCCTTAACAAAGGCAATCACACACACAATGTAACCAATACACAAAGTAAATAATAATTACACTAATGATATGTTTGAGGGGCACTGGCCAGGTCCACACACATCATAAGGTGGGAGGGGGTGCTAGCTCCCACTGAGTTGCTGGGCTGTGTGCCCAAGGCCCTTCACCCCATGCCTCTGGGGTTAGGGAGGAACAGGGGAGTGAGACTTCAGCTCATAGATTTATGTTCATAAGAGAAGACACCCCCCCACACACAAAGGTCTTTATTTGGTGGTATTAAAGGGGCAATATTCTAAGTGTCCCCCAAGTTTAATGTCCCAAGTCTGGAATTTGTAGCAGGAAGTTACCTGATGCCTATTGCCCAATCCCAACCCTGTGCCAAGATTAAGAGGCATTTGACCTCGGAGAAAAGCATCTTCTGTTCTTCACTTCTCTGTTCCTCTTATTCCACAAAGGAAATGTGAATGGTGTTGATGATCAGATGTATCTTGTTCTCCAAGATAGGGGCAGAAGGAAGGAGGAAGAACAGGGCCAGAGAGGAGAGGCTTGGGGTTAGCATAGCTGCTATAATGGAAGAAGGCAAGTTGAAAAGCTTAACAGCCCCTCCTATTTCTCTACTCAAACACCTTATCTTGCTTTCTCACTGTGAGAATAGGAATAGGATGCTAAAGCACATCAGCATCGCTTTCCCAAGGGCAGCCACACACCTTTGCCCCTTGTACTGTCTGTACCAATTGGGAGAGTCGTGCTCTTGGAAAGAACAAGCATTCCAGCTCTCCTCTCCAGCTTAGACTTTTCTTTAGTTCAGTACTGTTTCTATCAGACCCATAACTGCTGGCTATATTTAGTGATCATTTTGCTGAAGGTTCTTCCCCCCCTCTTTGCCTGTTATCTCAGGCTCTTTCCTGGAGCCAGGAGGTCTAGCGGTGAGGTATGGATAGGGTATGAATCAGGAGATTCTCAACTCCTTGGCTTCAGGCATTGTCCAGCTGGGAGGCAGAGGGGAATTTGTACACTGAAGCCCGTGACTCCTCTAAGCCTCACGTCTTCACCACTACTCTGGTGCCCTGGTTATCTGTCCCACAGCGAGAGGTATTTTATGTCCATAAAGTGCCCGTGGTAAGTGCTCAGAATTCATCTCTTGGCTGTGGCGGGTGCTACTATTTCTCATTCCATCGAGGGGAAGAAACTGAGGCACAGTGCGTCCAGAGGAGGGTGAGTCAGGATTGTGGGAGGAACGAATGGGCCCAGCTAGTGACTTGAAGTGGCAACCAGTCTGCCTGCTTCCTAGCCTTCCAAATCAGGGAGTCTTCATCCTTCCCATCCTTTGTCCTAACTGGCCTTCGCAGATGCTTTCCCCCACTCTACTATCCCCTCCCTGCTGCCAGGTACTGCTAGATTCCAAAAATAAGAGATAAAAATAATTATAGACACTCTGCTCCCTTGTTCTCTCCCCTTCCACCCTGAGCTTTGGGGTTGGGGGACCAAAACGTCCCCCCTCCAGAATCCTTTCCACCTTGGTCTGCTGGCTCTATTTCCTACCCCAGAGCAGTGATTTGGATTCAAATGCCCTGTAACTACCTTCAGCCTCACTACTCCTTTCTTGACCCCTCCTGACCTTCCCCAGACCTGGGGACTCTGAGATCTCTATACTTTTTTTTTTTTTATTGACCTGAAGATAGAGGCTGGGAGCAGGGGCATTCCACAGGCTCTTTGGTCTCTCTTGGCTGAGGGGAATTTGGGCATAAGCAGGCTGCACCCTCTGGCTAATTATGCCACGAAGGTGGACCTGAGGGTTAGGTTTGTGGCTCTCATATAGATCCTGGATGTTGAGGGTTCCCCCTCCCAGCTCATAAACCCTAACCTCTTACTATTTCCATGATCACTGGCTATACTTCAACCAGTTTGGCTCAGGAAGGTTGAGTTAGGGTGATTATGGGTGAGAAACTTCCATGTATCAGCCCTCTTGCCCTTTACTCCCATTCCCAACCCTGGAGGCTTTATACAAGTGCTTAAGTGGGTGGGTATTGAGGAAGAGCAGGGTTTGGGGCTAAGGGACTAATAGGGGCACAGTGGGCAGGGGCCCTCCTATTCCAGTAAAGCCAAATACCAAAAAAAAAATGAAAAGTCACAATAAATAAATAAATAAAATTCCCAAGTCCTTAACTTTTGCTCCTGACCTTTCTTCCCTTCCCCTGGCTACTGTTGGAGGGAGAGAAAGAAGAAGCTAAGAATGGGCTTTTGATTTCTCCTATTGAGTAGTCAGGGGATCTCCCCAAACTATACCAAGCCCCTCACCTTGCCAGTGGAAGAAAGGAGGCTTGGTGTGGGGTTTTCATTTATTACTCCATTTCGGTCTCTTTCTCAGTGTTTGTCTCTGCCTAGTCTCTGTCTCGTCTGCTTCTCTATCCCTTTGCCTTCTCACCACTGTTCTTTTTGTTCCTCTCTCTCTACCTCTCTGTCTCTACATCTCTCTGTCTTCTTACCAAACTTTCTCACCTGCATACCTCAAACACTCCCACCCTGACCATACCCCTTCTCCCTCATTCCCCCAAACTCTTCACCCCTCAATCCCCACCTTCCTCCCTCTGTTGTATTGCACACTGCTTGGTCAGGGAACAAGGTGTGATGCTCATGGGAAGAGGTGGAGGGAGATCTAGGGCTTGGGGGTTTGGGGTCAGGGCTGGGAGGATCTCGGGGTAGGGTCTGTGGGGGAGGCATCCTCTGTCCCCCACCTTAGGAGCAGCCACAGCGATCCACCACCATGCCAGGGATCTTGCCGTAGATAATCTGCTGCTTGTCATTGAAGTAGAGCATGTTGATTGGGGACATCTTGGTAGGGGTACAGCAGGGCCCAGCAGAGCCTCTTGGATTGGCCTGTTGCACCAAGTGGGTGTGTGGGTATTTTTGCATGAACATGTACTCGCATTGGCCAGAGCAGTAGTTGGCCTTGTAGCGCTTAGGTGCGATGATCCAGTCCCAGCCAAAAGCCTCAAAGTCCACTGTGAGGGGATATCGACAGCAACGGGACTCGCTTGAGTGCTCATCGCAGTCCAGGCCCAGGTTCCTCCGGGACCGTTTTGTGTTCTCTAGGACGCGAAGCTCCATGAAAGGATGCTGTGGGTCAGAGGGGGAAAAGACATGTGACAGAGCCTCTTCTGGTGCCTTTCCCACCTGCCTCTCAACAGGGGCACCAAGAGCTTTCCTATTGCTCCCACTCCTAGCCTTTTATCTTCTGCCCACTTTTATTGCCAACTAGTCACCTCTCCCTCATTCTTCCTCTCCTGGTGACCTGACCCTCATCAGCCCGGTGTCCCAGGACCTTATCCATGGCCAGTCTTTGCATTCCCACAGATCTTCCATTTACTGATGCCTTTGCCTCAAATCCAGTTTTCAGCTGTTGTCTGGTTGGGATCTCTGAAGAGTGATAGTTGCCACTCCACCCACCCAAGTCCTCTAGTATAAACTGGGCCCAGAGAAATAATAATGGTCCCCCAACCCCCTTCCCATTCCTAGTCTCTTCCAACATCCCCGCCAACTCAGTGCCAAGTTAAACATATCCACCACCACCTCAGGCCTCCTGCTCACCAGCCCCTCAGCTCCTGGCCCCAGGGAGGTGACAGCCAGGTCTGTCCCACTGGGGTCAAAGGCGTTGATCTCGATGCCCCAGTTGCTCTGCGGCTGGCGGAACCAGCTGTGTAGCACTTGCTTGAAGTCGATGCTCTGCCAGTGGCCGGAGCGCGAGTGCAGCTCAATCTTGAGTGAGCGGATACGGATGTGACGCCGGCCTCCGCCCCCTCCCCCTGCTGTCCCTTCCCCAGATAGTGGTTTCAGTCGCAAGATCTGCAGGTAGACTGTGGCTGGGCGGGGCACAGGCCTTAGGTATACCCACAGCTGGGCCTTCAGCACCTTTGTGAACATCACCTTGGGGCTGAAGTGGAAATGGCAGCAGAGAGGGCTGCCATCTGTCTGCACTGCGGGATCCGCTGATGAGAGAGAAGGGGGCACAGCATCAGTAAAGGGTGTTTGTGGAGAGGATCAGCAGCCCTGGGTGGCTTTGGCAATTTGGAGTTCTCAGCTTGAGTGTTCTAATTCCTCACCCTTCTGCCTCTCTTGCTGACTCCCACTTCTCTGGTACCAGAAACAGGCTTCCTCTCTATAAGAGGATGGCTTTATCAGGCCTTACTAACTTGCACCCATGCTCTTAAATCCACTTGCCCTGATACATATATTCCCCTTCAACAGATGACCTGCAAAGATAGGGAATTCTCCCTCCATCTGTATCTTTCCTTCCCTCCGACTTTTTCTGAGGCTTTGGTGCTGTTCATAGAAGCCATGTCCCTTAGCACACACGCTGTCCTTAAGTCACCTTGCCACATTTCTTCTCTGATTTGTCTGATGGGCAGGTGGAACATGGCACAGCTCAGTCTCCCCACCTCTCAGCACCCCACCCAATTAAAAATATCCAAACAGGTGGCTTTAGTGGGGATAGCCCAGGGTCCAGACAGGAGCATGGATTAAATTTATCCCATGAAGTGGGGCCGGCAGGTTGACGTGGTTAAAGGTGCTGGACTTCCACATGGCCTACTGTGATTCCAGTCCCAGCCTGGTGGCCTGCCTTCTCACTTTCTCTCACTCCGTCCCTCTCTGGTCAAATTAAAATAAATAAATAAATAAAGTTAAATAAAAATAATTCTTTTTTAAAAATTTTATCCCATGAAGTAAACCAGGAACTGGGATTCAGATCTATCTAGGTTTCTTGCTTCTTTCCCATTAGGATAACACACCCAGCAGAATGAACTGTCCAAGGAATTTCATGTGCAACTGTCTTCCTATTACTCCCCCCTAAGAACAAGTTTCCTCAGCTGCTTCCATGGCATCATCACTATTACCATGTTGGCTTTTGAGGAAGGGAAAAACGTGTTTCTTTTTTGACCAACACATCAGAAATTAAATAGTCACACCAGATCAACTATAATTTTTTCTCCCCTGAGATTGCTTTGGTTTCTCAGTCTGGTGTCAGTAAAAACTTGAACAAGATTCAGCTTCCCAACTTTACATTCTGACTCATTTCTCCTACTTCTGGACCATAAACTGACCCTTCTTAGGTCTAGAGGATGGGTCTCAATATCTGCCTCTACTCAATTTTACTCCTCCGAGTTCCTCTTCTTTTTTTTGAGAGGTTTTTGCTTTAGGGCACATGTACTTGCCAGACAGACAGAAAGTGAAAAATCACTCCCCAAGGGGGATGGTCACGCCGTAATCCCTTCTCCTCTATTCTCTTCTTGGGATCTTGGGTGCACACGCACCCGTCATGAGTTTAAGCCACCGGGTCCGGGACTTGAACCACAGTCGACTACATGAGAGTCCAGCAACATAGCCATTATGCCAACTGCTGGTCCCCCAGTTTCTCTTAATCTCTTTAAATCAATTGAGAATGCCCCAAATCGTATCTTCCTTGGACAGAAATAATCCATTCTCACTCTGGACAGACAGGAGGAATCAGGAATGAGTGTCCAGAGCTGTGTAAGTATGATCAGGAAGTCCAGGCCCTTATGTATCATGCTCAGGTCTCGAATTCTGCATAGCCATGATGGACTTATTTAACATCTTGTCTCCGTCAACACTCCCCACTCCTAACCTAGGAGAAGGAGGACCCTCTCTCTCCAAGTGAGAGGGGGAGGAAACTGCTTACTGTCACATATTGGGTCCTGGGAAGAGTCACAATGCATTTTTGCATAGAAAAACAAAAATACGTCATGACTTCCAATGACCCAGTGTATTCAGGACAAGATACAAAGTCCTTCCACAGCTTCTTTTTTTTTTTTTTTTTTTTTTTTTTTGTGACTCTTCTCAAGGTCCCAAGGCTCTGGTAGTCCCAGTTACTCTATTGGTTGGAGCTTCAGTGATGGTGCCATATTGGAGTAGGATTTGGGGAGTGGAGATGCAGATTATGGGGCAGGGCAGTTACTGGTGAGATGGGGAGTGACAAGCAGCAATCCAAACAGCATGGTATGCCTACTGTCAGCATAAGAATTGTCCATTTATTTTGTCATTAGGGACTAAGTAGGTACTCCATCGTGGTGGACACTGTCCACTGGTTCTGTCTTCTGTGTCTGCTTTGCTCCCCATTGTAGCTTTAGTCCCTCCTATAGTGCCAGACTACTCAGTGAGTACAGGCTGAATGGACCTCCTGATCTTCTGATCTTAAATCAGATAGGCAAGTACCTGAAATTTCTGGGCAGCTGAACTCTGGCTCTAACTGAAGTGAGTTTACTACCTGACCTGGCTAGCCCAGTATCTGATTTTAACCACCAAACTTCTGGATGTGATGCAGATAATGATTCTTGCTTCATAGCAGTGCTGAGCATTAAAGAATGAAAATAGCAGTGCCTTCTTGTTTTCTAGCTCCAAACATCCCCACTAAAGGGGGTTTGGAGGTGAGGGATGGCACCAAAGCCCCACCCTTCTGTCTTTGATTCTTTCAGATGAGAACTCCATCCCCAGCTCAGAGTCAGCATAGACTTCTCCCCCAGTCAATCTAGGGACAGTCCTATAAGGAGACAGGACATTGAGGAAAAGGAAAAGGGGAGGAGACAGATGAGATGATGGAGATAAGAACGAAAGGGAGGAAGGCAGGTTAGAGGAGCTAGCCAGAGAAAAGGAGGCAAGGGGAGGAAGGAAGAGGGGAGGCTGGTGGTAAGGGGAGAAGAAATGTTTGGGTATTGGAGAAGTCTGGGGCAGAGATAGGAAGGGGGGGCTAGGAAGCCAAAGATGGGGCAGAGCTAAACCTGGTAGGGTAAAGAGAAGGGCTGGAAAGGGTACAGAGGAGGAACAAAGGAGAAGCAGGTAGAGTCACAGAGGGAAATGGGGGGGGGGACTTGAGAGAGTCCCCAACACGGGCCCAGCTCCAGTGGGGAAGGGAAGGGGCCACATCTGTGTTGGATTGATGGGGTTGGTGGCAGGCAGCAGGTCAGGTTTAGTAGGCGGCGCTGGTGGGGGAGAGAGGTCATTGCACTATTTTCAGCAAAGCCCAACCCCCTCCCTGCTCAAGGCCTCCCCTTCCCCCTACCACCCCCCAGCACACACTTTCCCAAGCCTGGCTGGAGGGCCTAGGGGCAGGAGGTTGGGCTGAGAGGGCAGGGGCCTCTTGGTATGGGGAGGAGGGAGAAACTGAGGGGCTGGGCTTGGCTCCCAGAAGGGCAGGGGGCTGGGTTCTCAGTATGAAGGCTGGGGTGGAAGAGCCTGAGAGGGGGAACGGAACTAGGGCAGGCAGAGCAGTCTAGGAGGGGTGGGGGCTGGGGTCCAGAGTAGAGAGCTGGGGGAGGGGAGGGAGGGGGAGGGGAGCGGAGGCCATCTCTGCTGACAAACACCTCCCCCGATTAGCAGAGCACAAGTCTCTTATTAAAGCGGGTCCCTGGGGATTAGACTATAAAAGTCTCTTTTTCCTTTTCCCCTCTCTCCCTCCCCTCTCCTCCACTCCCCCTCCCTCTCTTAAGAGCTCAGCTAGGCTCTTAAAGGGGACGTACAATACCTGGCCCGAGACCGGGTTCCCTAGTTACCCAAGTCCTGGGGTGTCCAGGGGGCGCAAGGTGGGGTAGGTCCCCTCCTGCTGCGGTCCTCCCAGCTCCTCCAGACCTAACCTGCACAGCTCCGTCGGTGCAGGCACTCCCTTCACTTCCCGCATCCCCACTCTCAGAGTTAGCTCTGGGCTGTGCCTGTGTGGTAAGGGACACTGAGGGATAGTGAGGGGCGAGGGGAAGCCCACAGCCCCATCACGCAGTCTGGAAATCTCACACGCGCCACGGGCCACAGTGTCTTTTCCCGCTGTACTCTCATCCACTTCCAGCAAACTCGGTCAGAATTCCTGTTTGACTGTTTCCTAGAATCCCCACCCCCACCCGTCCTAAGCTCAGACTCTGGCTTCCCAGAGCAGAAACTTTAAGAACAGAAGGAAGACAGAGGAAACTAAGACCAGATCCCCAAGCCTGCCAGCCCCTCCACCTGAGAGTTTTCGGGTTCTTTGAACTTTCTTTTCTTTACAGCCCTGACCAAGTGCTGCGGAGTGAAGCTCTGCAGAAATACATGGGTGGCAGTAGGAGGCACTCGGCCTCCCAGATGCACACCTGGGTTCCTGTGCCTCTCCCATGGGGGTGGGCCACTACGTCTCCCCTCAGCCCGCAGCTTTTATGACCCATCTGCCAATAAACCAGTCTCCCCCTTCTTCTGTTCAGAGCCATAAAACCAAACAGCGAGTGTGTGGTGGGGTGGACCTTGCAAACCACTCGGGAATAAGAGAGGGCCTGGCTCCCTGGAGTTGAAGAGGGGGGCACCTCGGTAGGAAAAGGGGGTCACCTGACCTTAGGATGGGGGTAGTAGTAGTTGCCTGGATTTTCCAGGCCATAAAATTTCAAAGCAGCCCACGTCTGTTAACATGTTCATCTTCCGTTTGGCTAGGGGCTCCGATGTCTGGGTTCCCCTCACCCACCAATTATTTCTTTCTCCCTAAGTCTTCCTCAGTAAGTCCAGCTGCTGGTAGGACTGAGTAAATAGAGAGGAGACACTAAGCTTTGCGTCGCCACATGGGTGTCCTTAGCCCCCAGTGCAATGGAGTTGAGTTCTCTGAGCTCCCCAGTACCAAGAAGGCACAGCCTTTCCAGCCCCTGGGGAGATGGGTGCGAGGCGCGGCTCAGGACGGAAAGGGTGCCAGCTAGGCTGCCAGAGGGCTACAGGGCTCAGGGATCTTATTCCAGGAGGAAGGAGGGAGGGCTGTTCACTGCAGCCCGGGGGTGCAGGGGGTGGGGAGTTTCGGTGCCAGGGCGATTGGGAGCCAGATGGCACTGCAGCCCAGCTGTGACTGCGAGGTTCCCAGAGCCCCCCGATCCAGTTCTCTATCTCCCCACCACGGCCCTACAGGACGGGGTCGGTGCGGGTTCTCTCCGCTGCGGGCCCCAGCTTCCCTGGACTCCTACATCCCGGGGCTTTTTCCGCACACCAGGTGCGAGAGGCAGTTTCTTGCCACTTGCCCTATTTGCCACCCCACCTCCGGGAACTGGGCGTACACAGAACTCATCCCATCGCCGCCGCGGGAAAAACTTCTAAGGAGTAGCTCCGGCTCCGCAACCCGTCAAGTTTTCGCGGAAAAGGCTTCCCGGCCGGGGCAGCCTGGAGCGCCCTGCTTCGGAGCGGAAGGACCCTTTCCCAAAGCCCTAGCCAGTACCCCACCGCTCGCGCCCCTCAGCTCGCTTACTCTCTTGGGCCATACTAATGACGGTCTCGGTGGTGGCGTGATACTCGTCCTCCTCCAGGAAGTCCTCCGGCTGTAGAGCGTCGCCTTGGAAGTCGTGCAGGTCCAGGATCTGCTGCAGCGGCGGCGCCTTGGGCAGCAGCTGCTTTACCACCTCGCGGCTGATGTTGGGCGCCTCCTTGAGCCGCAGTTTGCTCAGGATCTGCGACTTGATGCTCTCCAGGCGCAGCTCGCGGCTGT